ATCAGCTCTACAGTGAGAGTCTGATTGTGCACGAACTGAAAACAGGAAGACAAAAAAAAATAAATAAAAAATAAAAAAATATATAGAGCTGAATTTCAGAGGAAATGAAGACAAGGAAAATTACCTGCATCATCAGCAGTTGGTTAGACCTGGCTGGGTCAGGAACTGATCTGCTGGATTCGCCCATCCCAGCAGTGGCCTTCAGCGACCAGATCCTTGCCCTATCTACTTCGGACATGCCAGCAAAATCGCCGAAGTAGGCTGCAGCTCCTTCTCGGTTCTGATCCCATATGAGGTCCCAGATGTGGTCTGGGATTGGAATTCGGGGGGCCGAGAAACCCATTTCTCCAGATTGCAGAGTCTGGAAAGAAGGGAAGGATGACGATGGAGCTTGATTAGCTTTGGATGGCTCAGCATCATCCTTCTCAGAGGAGTCAATTACTATGACCTCCTCTTCTTCAGGGGTGAGGACGAAAGCCTCAACCTCTCTTGCGATGTCTGCCGTGAAGCCCTCAGCACTGGACATCACGGCATCCTTGTTTTCGTGCTCAGCAGCACTCTCCCTAATTTCTTCTTGGACCCCTCCCTTAGATTCGGGAGTTTTCTGATCCACCTCTATCTCAGGAGGTGGCGGAGGGGTCTTTTGAGGTGATTGGGGTGGTGGCCGGGGAACCCTCGGCGATCCATTGCCTTCATCGGGTTCCCTTATTGCAACGCCGATGGTCATCGACCTCCTTTGAAAGTCATGAGGGCCGATGATGGCCATTCTTCGGCGCCTTTTCAGAAGGGGCTGCTCGTCCATATCTGAGTCTGAAGACTCTCCTTGTATTTGGTCTTCGGGACGAACAAGAGCTTTGCCTTCTCTGTGTCTGTTACTCTCTTCAGACTGTAACAGACAGGGGGGAAGAAGAATGTGAGTAAAAAAAAAAAAAAAAAAAAGAAAGAAAAGAAGAAGAAAAGAAAAAAGAAAAAGTTAAGTCTGAAAGCTCACCGAGGTCTTCAGCAAAGCCTCGTCTTCTTCAGCTGCTCTAGCTGCAGCTTCGGCTTCAGCAGCTCTGGAGGACCCTTCTCCTCCTTCGCAAGCTTCGAGAACCCGTGCAACCTCTTCGGCTGTGCGGGCAGCTTCAGCTTCTTCGTCCAGCAGCTGAAACCAGGGGTCTCTCTTCTTCCACCAAGGCTTCTGCCTCTGATACAGAGCAACAGCCTCAATTTGGAAGTGGGAAGAGTCTAGATGAACTTCCCTATTCCTCGGCTCAGTGATAGACGGGGCCCGTTCAGTTACAACTCGTTCTCGGTTGACACCAAGACGAGCGTAGTTAATGCCAACGTTGGTCTCGTCCCGCTCTGAAAAAAGGAAAGGGGAAAGGTTAGCTCAGATAGGTTGGCACAGCATAAAAAAGCGAAGCGAGAGAAGAAAAAGAGAGTTAAAAAGCCTCGGCCCCAGCCGAAGAAGCTTACCATCCTTAAACTTTCGGCTGAGGCCAACAGCTACTAGCATGTTCTCTTGGAAAACGTAATGCGTATCGGGGAGCCAAGTCTCCGGGATATGCTGCATTCGGCCACTGCCCCCCCGGTTCGGCAGCTTGCCGAAGATATGTTGCTGATCCAGGTTCGGATCCGCCCCGTTATCTGCGGGGGGACCTAGACTTCCCATTTCGGGATCAGGCTCAGCGAGGTACCGGGGAGCGCTGAAGACGCAAGGGTGGCCCGGATCTGTGGGTGCCCTAACCCAAATCCATTGACCTCTCCAGTCCTTGTCTGAAGAGTCGTTTGGCCACATGGTTAGGTATTGGGGCCGGGACTCAATCCGGTACCACCCAGAACCATGGCTTCCGTGCCCACTTTGAATATTTGGCACTAGCCGATGGAGCTTTTTGAAGCAGTGCAGGTTCGGCACGTACTTGAAGAACTTGCAGACCCATAAGTAAGTCATCACCCTTCGGATGCTGGTGGGAGTTAACTGACATAGAGAGATGTTGTAATGGATCAGCAAGTCTCGGACGAATACGTCCAAAGGGAACCTCAGCCCGTACTGAAGCTGTCTTGTGTACACCCCCACATACCCCGGGGGTGGACGATGGATTCTATCGGATGCCGAGGGCATTCGGCACCAGTACCCATCAGCTTCAAAAATGCCGTAATGCAACTCAATTTGCTCGGCAAATCGATATTGATCGGCATTCTCCACCCACCATGAGTAGGGGCGGTTCTTTATCATGGCCGAAGCAACTTCGGCATTCTCCCATTCTGAAAACCCGGGGAGGATATCCCAAAGGACAGCGGGAACTTCATCATCCCGCCCAGAAGCGCTCGGCTCCTCCGTTCTCTGAGGAGGAGCCGAGGAAAGGGGAGTCGCCCTAATCCCTTCAGCAGGGTCAGACTCCGGCCTTTGACCATTCCAGGTCCCAATCCTGTTCCTAGGATCGGGAATCGTCCTTGCTCTTCTTGGAGCACGGGCTCTACCTCTAACTCCTCTTGCCATTGATTATTTCGAAGAAAAAAGTCGAAAGAAAAGGGGAAGGAGTTCGAATTCGAAGAAAAATAAACTGAAATCAAAGGAATTTACCTTAATCTGAAGCGAAAGTTGCCGATTTACGAGTTCGTAGTGGCAAGTCTCAGTTTCTAAGCTTAATGCTCGGGGAATTTGCGAAGTTTTGATGCGGGTTCTTGGTTTCTCTCTCGAGAATTCTGGGTTTGTGTTGGTGAATAAGTGAGGAGAGATGACGCGCCTCTGTTTATATCTCCAGGTATGGGATACGAGGAGTCTGCGTTTTAATTTCTCTTAAATACTCCACTAAATAACCGTTAAACACATGATCTTGTGATTAAACTGCCCATTATCCGTCCAACTTCCACAATCATTAATCGTTGTTATCTCATTAATTACGGTTTAAATTCAAATTTTTGGATTAATTAAATCATTTACTTCCCTCCTTTTCTGAATTAAATCAAACCCGATCCGTCATCCTTCCAAATCGGGTCTGGGGGGCAAGTTGTTTGGGTCCAATTTAGTCCAATTGGGCCTAAGCACTAAATGATCCAATTAAAAGCCCAAGGTCAAGGTTCAACTCTCCAATTGTGCTAAAGTCAAAGGTCAGCCCACAAAGCAAGCCAATTGGGCTAAGGCCCAACCTCTCCATGTATGATGAGGTATAAAAGCCATCATATTGATACATTCAGGGGGGGATTCATATTCTGATTCATTCTGATTCATTCATAGATTCATATATTCTGAGATATTCCAAAAAAGCCTCAAGCAACAAACTCTCTTGCATAGTGTCTTCTTCTTACACATTGTACTGACTTTAGCATCGGAGGGGCCTTCCTCGGCAACACCCCCGAGGCTAGTTTACGTGTGTTTACTGTGCAGGAAATCTTCGGCCCAACATAACTTGGACCGAATCCAGCCTTCTCCATTTCAGCGGACCTTCGGCAAGGTCCCATTGTTTTCACCCGAAACACCAAATGAAACACTTGAGAAGTATTACTCACAACGATCCACTCTTGGTGGTTTGCTCATTACCGAAGGCACCCTCATCGCCCCACTAGCTGCACGGTAATTATATTTTTACATTACATGCTGTGCCAACTTCTTGTTTTTTGGGTTCGTTGGTACAGTATTTATAAGCTTGGTTTTGTTTTTGGCCTTGTTTGATTAAGAGCTCTTTTTGAAGAGCTTTTAGATTGTTGAGTGAAGTTCGACCAATTTTAAAAGCTAATTTGGATCTTTGGTAAATAGTTTATTAAAAGAGCTTTTTACAAACACTTTTACAATATCCATTATTTACAACCAACTAGTCAAATCAGCTAATATAATAAGTTAGTCAAACCAATTATACCAATTAGCTATCAGCTAATTACCAAACATGCCTTTCAAATTGAAGAAAGTCTTATTAGGGTTGTGAGTGAGTAGCGGAAGCAAATTTGAACAGAAAAGTTTGAAAATTGTATAGTTTAAGAATTATTAATAAGGAAAAATAAAGGCGAGATAGATAGTAAAAAACAGGACAAACAATAAATGCAAAAAAAAAAAAAAAATACTCATGGACGACAAGCACCCAAAATAATCCATTGTATGAAACATAGGAGAGTATTAAAAATTATTCCACAAAAACAATAAAATGAAAGCCAAAAGAACGGGGTATATATTACAAATACTAACTCTCACTATCAAGAATAAACTCACAAAGGAGTATAATTACAAGGAGGATAATAGTGGATTTTAAGAAGGATTTTTTGTGAGAAACTACCTAATAAATCCAAAATTGTGAAGAACTATCTAATAAAAAAATGTTGCAAGAAACTACCTAATAAAAGGTAAAATGTTGTAAAGGACTACCTTTGGCTGGATTTCAATCTTTGACCGATTTTTCCGGCATCGATCCACCATAAAACACCTTCAAACCACCCGCTTTCATTCCCGAAACCAACACAACCTGCTTGAAACTACTTCCATTAAGCCGAAACCACCCTCCAACCCCAAAAACACCCAAAGAGGGTGGTTTCCGGGGTTAACATTTTATATACAAAAATATTTTTAACGATCAAATTTTTTTGGTTCAAAAGTATCAAGAATAATTATTTAATAAATGCGTAAAATAGTTTGATGTGGATCTAGATCCATGAAATCCTGATCTTGATCCATAAATTTCGAATATGCAGATCCACATATTAAAAACAAATTTGGATCTGGATCCAGTAGGAACCTATCCAGATGCAACCTGTTGCGATCCCTACTCATATACATCGCTTAATATTATTTCACTTTGTAAAGGAAGGGTGGATGTAAGCTTGATCTTATATTATGTTAGAGGATCAACTCTACCATTAACGAATTAAGTAGTATTACTTTTATATATAAAATAAAGATATTAATGGTTGAAACTATATAATGACTAATGTGAAAATCATTATGAAGTATTTTATGTGTTAAGAAACAGAGGAGAGGACTAGATCAACATTAAATCATTATTTTTTTTTTTGGGGTGGGGGGGGGGGGGGGGGGGGAGGGGGAATCAATATTTTATGAGTTCAACGTTATCTTTTATTCTTTAATTTGTTTTCTTTCATCATTTATTCTTTAATTTGTTTTCTTTCAATAGATACTCTAAAATGGTTGATGTTAAGGGTCATGCTTGGTTTTGGCCCCTCAATAAATTTGTTCCTCCTCATTGCCCTGGAATCTACACAAACCAACAAGTGGAATCATGGAAGAAAGCGGTAGACTCAGTTCATAGCAAAGGCGCTATAATCTTTTGTCAATTGTGGCACGTTGGTCAGGTTTTTAATCAAGGTAAGAATTCAAACCAATTATATGCGTTGGTCAGGTTTTTAATCAAGGTAAGAATTCAAACCAATTATATTAGGTCATGTATGTTATTATGGATTTATTTTTCAGAATTTCAATTCAGTTTAGTTCAGCTCTTTTTATTACAAGTATAATTTAGCTTAGCTCAACTCACTTCCGTTCATATCACCATCAAATCACAATCATCATCCATATATCACCATCTTATCATCATCATACAATTTAGTTCATCTTTGTTTAGTTAAACTTCATCCAATCCGAAAAAAAATGGATGTTCTCTTCTATTTTAGAAACGCAAAACCTGGACTATATTAATATCTTAAATTATATACGAAGTATTAAAAATTACAAAAAGTTGATTGTTTGAAAATATATGATATACTCAACTATATAATTATTACAATGTCAATAGCCAACTAGCTTGAATATACTTGTATATGAAGTCCTATTCATAGCCAACTTGTCAAATTTGATGAAAGCGTGATTTCGTTAATAATAGGGTGCTTCATAGAAACGTTTCATATAATGTCAATGTCATAAAATCAATTCCTATTAGGTTTACATTACAAACGTTTGATATAAATGTCAACGTCATAAATCAAATTGTATACCTCTTAGGCATGCTTGGATTGGGGAGATGTATTATTAGAGTAATAAAAGTCAAACTAAGCAAAATAAAAGTGAAAATAGGGAAGGAGGAGATAGTAATGGTGTGATTGTAAGGAAAATTATGTAGTGATGGTGTGGTATGATGTGAAGAAAGAGGAATTAATACCCTCATTTTGGGGGTAATAGTTACGCTAGGGGGAGGGTGGGTAACTATTACCCTCATTATGAGGGTAATAATTCCTCCATCTCTCTCTTTTCCTCATGACACAATTACTTTATTTCATTTGTAAACACCATGCCTCCTGCAACAACACCTCCAATTACTTATGTTTTTTCAAGTTTGACTTTTATTACCCCCAATCCAAGCAAGCCCTTAGGCTTTCATTTCCGTGGCAACCCTACGGAAAAAATTTGATGCTAATGTAGAGCATGATCTGAGTTTGGTGAAGAGTCTTACATGGACGATCTTGCTAACCTAAGATATACTTCCTCTGTGTTTTTTATAGTTGCAACACTTCTCTTTTCACGCTTGTCGATGCATGTTTTCAATCGTTAATATCTTTAATTACCAATATGTAATTATTATAAACATTTGATATTAAAATTGTATAAATCGAGACGAATCTAACAAGATCCCACATGACTGTATTTTTACTTAAGTTTAAACCGTCAAAGTTAGTCAAAGTGAAATACATGAATAGTGTAAAAGTCAAATTGTTGTCACAGACTATAAAAAAGAAAACGGAGGAAGTATGAAGTATAGTCAAGCTCAATAATTCCCATGATACTAGAGCATATCTGTGCTAAAGCAAGGGATATATTAATTGTATATATCAATGTTTTTTTTTATAGCTACGATATCATTGATTTATTTTTGCAAATACGATTATGGGAGTTATTGAATTTGATTAGTGGTAGTTATTGAATGTGAAGATGTTATAAGAAGTTATAATGGATATATATATATATATATATATATATATATATATATAAATAATGGAAATTGATATTTAAATAATAACAAATAAAAATAAAAAATGAAGTTAACATAAGATTTTTTTTTTTGGTGTTCCACTCGGTTGACCATATGGGCTAAGCAAGCTGAGGGCAGGGTTCGAACATGCGGTCCTCCCTACCAAGTGCAGCCCCAATCACCGCTGCACTAACAACTAATTTGTAGTTAACATAAGTTTAGTGGAAGTTATAGAATAGGAAGTTAGAATGGATATTGGTTATTTATTTATTTATTTATTTTTTATAAAGTAAAGTTAATAGAAATTGAGGATTAAAAGTCATGATATGGTTAAAAGTTGGAAAAGTGACTCTTAAATTATATAATAGATGTCCTCTAGTTTTACTCCATCCGTCTCTAAAATAATTTCTTGCTATTTATAAGACGGTGATTGTAGTAAAATAAGGTTAACATAGCTAGGCCATTCAAGTTCGTTCAAATTATTATAAGTATAAATTATGATGTCATTGTATTAATGATTGAATGCAACTGTGCAAGTATTGAAGTAAATAGCTAGCTAGCTTAGTATACCAAAATGAAGATGTTATATGAATGTTGTTAACAATTACGATTGAATCAGGCAAATGGAGTCCAGAACATTATCGACAAGCAACTCTCAATGCCATTCGTGCTGGTACGCATATATGCGTAATGCTTTATTATACGAGGTTAACATTTTTATGCATCTTTCATTGATTATTGTTTGAGATTCAAGTTTGAGTAACACGGGTATATTTTCTTCAACTTAATCAATAAACCAAACATACTTGGTGGAGGTGTTGGAAACTCACCTTGTAACATTAAGGTCACAAGTTCGAGCCTAACTATCTATTTTACTTGGGAATAGGGGATTTCCTTACCTTTGGAAAATGGGAAAACATGGGGAGTAAAACAATTGTTAAAACTATGACATATATGAAATAATGAGCTCAACTGAAAACAACTATATATCCTATCTTGAATCCGATATGCTTACTTCTTTTTACAAATCAAACTTATAGGTTTTGATGGAGTGGAGATACATGCGGCTGATGGATACCTAATTGACCAATTTATGAATATTGCATTGAATGATCAACCCGAAAAGCCGAATAAATCATCACTCAAAGGCATAACCAAGTTTCTAATGCAAGTGATCCAGGCCGTTGTTGGTACCATAGGAGCTGACAAATTAGGAGTCAGAATCTCACCTTCCATCGATCGATTTGAAGCCACTGATTTCAACTCACTAGATTTGGGTCTAGCAGTCATTGAAGGGCTTAACAAACTACAATTCGACTTGGGATCAAAGCTCGCTTACCTCCATACAACTCGATCTAGGTTAGCCCTAGGAGTTGCTGAGGAAAAAGCCGAGGGTGATGCTCGAATCTCGAAAAAATTGAGGGATGCATTTGAAGGGACTTTTATGAGTAGTGGTGGCTATACTAAGGATCAAGGAATGAAAGCTGTGGCTCAAGGGGAGGCTGATTTGGTTGCTTACGGGCGGTCTTTCTTATCTAACCCTGATTTAGTCCATAGGTTTAAGGTTAATGCACCTATGAATGACTATGTTAGGGCTACATTTTATAGCCAAGATCCTATTTTGGGTTATACCGATTATCCTTTCATGGGAAAGGAAGCAATCAAGGGTTACTAAATTTAGCAATGTTAATAAGAGTCAAAATGTCAAATCCTCAATCTATGGTTTGTTAAAATTACTTACAAAGTAATGAACGAAAGTGTGTGAAATTGTTGTCAACAAAAGAAGAAAGATATATACAAAAAAAAGGAGTGAATAGAAGGTTTGTAACACTTTGTTTTATTTGAATCTTTTGTAATGGTGTTTATTATAATTTGAAATTCCGTTTTGTTCTGTTTTATTTTGATATATCTATTTGTTATTTCACACTTGTTCGGCTGTTTTTTTTTTTTTTTTTAATTATCAATATTTTTTATTTTGTTGTATTAGAAATTATGATAATAACTTTCTAGAAATTACACTTTGAGACAAATTTGAGATGAGCCCATACGATCAGCTATGTTTTTCAATTTCTTGCATGTCGAACTTTGAGCTTTTTACCCGGCACTATAGTATGTAGGTATTGATGAATATAAAAACATTTAGAAATTGATTTAGAGTTATAAACATAGAGGTGAATGTATTGATAATTAAGTTCATGTTCGAACCATCCAATTGAAATTTTTGTTTTTGAATTTTGATCCGGAATGAAATTGGTTCTTTTGTGCTTGTTTATATTAATTACCTTGAAGATACTTTTCCAACTTGATTAGTATATAACTAGTGTAGATATGATATCAACATTTGAAAGTGTTGGGATATTAGCTGAAAAAAATAAATAAATAAATAAATAAATAAATAAATTAAAGAATTATCCATTACAATTCCTCTATATGTAATATACTAGATCTTTGATAATAACACCTCAATGTCTACTAAAATGTTTTATTTAGAAAGGTTAAACAAAGCTAGGAAAGTCTTATTTAGCTGATCAAGACTAAAATTAAACCTAACTTATTTCCTACTAAATACTAACTACATACGAAGTATATTGAAATTATATGCTTTGGGAGTTGTAAGGAAGTAAGTAAAGACGTAGCACATAGAATTATTTCAAAACATTTTTTGTTTTACATTATTAATATGTAGAAATGATGTTTTACAATATTAATATGTAGAAATGAGAGTGAGGATAGCTCAAGTGGTTAGACTTTCTCTCTTAATTTCAGGAGATCATGGGATCGATTCTCATTACTTGCCTTTGTGGCTCTCTTAACACCAAAAAAAATATAATATGTAGAAATAATATTAATGGTCATCCCACTTATATACATGATGTTTTGAATTAGTCTTTAGTCAAGGTACGGTGTATGTTACACAAGAATTTAGAACACAAGTCAGGGTGTTCACAACTGAGAATTGTGATTGCAAGATTATTATATTTCTTTTATGCTCATCATGAAAAAGCTACGAGGAAGGTTCATAGTCAATTATTTTACAAAATCTATCGTAGATTCTTATTGCTATAAACAAATACTCATTTCATCTGGAAAAGTTCTTTGTTTATGAATAATAATTCTCACAAAATAAAATCATCAAAATATTAAGAATTTTTAGTGATGGAAGGAGTTGATCTTCTATTTTCGGTGAAAGAGAGGGCAAGTCCCAAAGAAACAAGAACAAATTAAACCAAAGACCAAAAAAAAAAAAAAAAAAAACCCCTAAACTAAACTACTCCAACTCCACCTAAATGTCTCGAGCAAGAGGAACAGTCTAGCTCGAGTCACACCACTGAAATCCTCCACTAAAACAGCATGAAGATTTTTCGTGACCGTCTAAAATTATACCACCATTTGAACAAGGTAGTTGATGTCATAGTTAGCTATCTTAATACACTTTTTTTTTATGCACATATCTTTTACTTTGTTTCTCTTATCGATCTATTACACACAATCACCATCTCATATAATTAAGAGTCATAGACATTCTCCTCCATTACTTGTATATACTCCTTCATCTATTGACATGTAAAAGATGTTAGTTCTTTAGGATCAATGGAACTGTGTCATTATTTATATGAATTATACATTCTTTTCCCTTTTCCAAAAATTCGTTTAAGGGTTTAGGAAAGTTGTTTTCCATCTACTCCACCTTGCCCCTTTGTTTTTATAAAAAGGCATCTCATCCTTTTCACTCTCAAGAGTGATTGAAGAAGTAAACAAAAGGTCTATGTAAAGCAACAAGTCAACAATTCAAGATAGAAAGTAACAAGTCAACACCCTCATAATTAAAGAGCAAAACCCAAAGTATTGTTTTATATTCTATTTTTTACCAAGTATAATTGAATCATACTTCTGTTAGTGGGACGAAGGGAGATATTGCAAATGCAAATACGTGTCTTATCTCTTACTTTGTATATCAATAAATAACATGGCATCATTGACTTGGATATAAATTGTTGATTCGAGTGAGTTAGAGACATCATATGCGCGTATTTTTGATCTATAATTAAGGATTCATCTAATTATTTAACAGAATTATCCATGTATATTATCCTAGTTTTAGAATCCACAACTGCATCTTCATCCTCAGTATGTACGTTGTTTACAGCATACTATAATTTATTATACAATAATGGACCTCTTTAAAAATAACTTTTTAACTAATTTCGCATGTTCATATGTCTATCACACACATTGCTGAATTCACAACTTTTCTAGGAAAACAATATGAGGATTTTATGTTGCAAGGATGATGATAGATTGCCTTTTGATTCATTTGACTACTGTATTCGAAAAAAAAAATGATCTTTACAAAGGATGACTCAGCTCTACCATAAAGAGATAGATTGAATGAATGACTATTATTTACGCTCATACTGTATAGATTTGTTAAGATCAAAAGATAAAATTTAGTTAACTCCGTAATTAGACTATTTCAAGCCTACACGGCCAAATATCTTATTTTAGAACCTAAAATAAGAGCCGATGAGAGAGGGTGAGGAAGGAGCCAAGGAGGCGACTGCTAGTAATAGTAATAAATTATAATATACCCTTTTGACATAAATAAGTTGTTAAATTTAAGGAGTTCGTCACATCATTTGCACGTAACGTAATTATATATGATCAAGGAGTAATTTTTTATACCAATTTATCTAATAATTATCGTATTTTTCTATTATTATACAAGCTAGTTGTATCTGCTTTGCCCCTGATTTGCTAATTACATTTCGCACGTTGGTTTATATGATTATATATATATATATATATATATATATATATATATATATATATATATATATATATATATATAGAGTGCAACTCATCTAAAAATCGCACTCTCACTAGATTTTTTAGGCAAAAAAAAGAGAGAGAATGGATCTGAAAATAACTGTAAAAGAAGAGTTGAAAAAAGGATGGGAAGCAACAAGTCAACTACGAAGCTTACTTAGTCAACCAGATCAACTAATTAGTGAGGAAGAAACAAGTCAATTCAATGATGAAACAAAAATGGTACGTATGAAAAACTATTCGACCGCCATTGTTAATTCATTTGATACTTCTATTTCCATCTTAAATAAGATTGTTCAATCTATGGAAATGGATGCATCATTTGTTGAACAAACAAGTCAACAACCAAAGACAAGGTACTTATAATTTTATCATTTTAATATATTTTGTTGTTTTATTTACGTTTGACTGGATCTATTGCTCTAATTTTCTTGTATTGGTTTTTTTTAATTATCCGATAATTAAAACAAATACCATAGAACAATCATACAAATATGTGTCAGTATGTGGGTGTATGCATGTGTATCACGAATAATCTAGTTGGTTGAAAACTTCTAGAGATACATGATACTAATAAGATCCCACTGTACTTGTTAACGAACTCATTTCATTAACATATCTTTAAATAATTAAAACTATAAAAATGCTTGACAAGGAGGTGACAATTGAATTAATTTGAATTCACTCGTAAACATTTTTTAAATCGGTTTTGAAATTATCTAAATACGGAGTAAATTTATCTGAACATGTTATTAAAAAAATCATTTACAGCTGTAGTCACACATTTTTTTTTTTTTATTCTTGCAATTCCCTTCCCCATTCTCCAAGTATGGCCTTAATCCGGTCAATATTTTTCCACGTGATTAATTGACCGGATTGACTTGAAAGTTTTACTCCAAATAATTTTTCGAACGTAATAAAGATTCTTCCTTTATTATTTTACTCCGTATAAACGTACGGGAATCTTAATCGTTATCATCTTGCAAATCTATATCATCAACCTAGCTTCGTCATGTTGTTCAACTTATTGTTATTAGCAACAAATGCATACCATGATACCAACCTTATTCTATATTGCGATAACTATTCGTTTATGTCTTTATGACATTGTTTATGCTATATGCTAGTGTACTCTTTTTGATCGTTTACTAACACTCGTAGCTCTAATTCTTGCAAAATTATACAAAAGTCGACCCTTTTTTAACCAATAATGCGCATTAATAGTACTTCCTCTGTTACATATTAGTTGCAACTTTAAAAAAATTTATGTCTCACAAATAATACCCCAAAGTTGCAACTAATATGTAACAGAGAAAGTGATAAAAATTAATACGTAGTATAAAAATTTTGTTCGATTTTCCTCATCAATTACTGCTCTTTAACTTTTAAGAGATTCGTGTTAAAAGACAAAACACTCTAGAACTTTGTTACTTAGGATAAATGAAGACTTGCATATTCTTGTTAACCAATCTCGTATAAATGATGATTAATGTTTTATTTGTTTTTCATATTAAAAAAAAAAAAACAAACAAACAAACAAAAACCAACAACAACAACACAGAGAAATTTACTAAGGGGGGTGTTTGGTTCGCAGAGTGGTATGGGTCTAGAATCAGGAATGAGATTAACGTGGATCGGTTTAAACTTGATATTTAATACCATGTGTTTGGTTCAATTCTGGAATGGAATCTCATCCCCTTAATATACCTAAGGGAATGGAATAAGCCAAACTCACCTCCCCACCCCCCCTCTCTCAAGGTTTCTAAACCCCATACCTCATGGGTTTGAGGTATGAGTTTAAAATTCATACTTTTAACAACCAAACATATAGTATGAGTTTTAGTCATTCTAAACCCATACCTCATACCTATATTCCGTGAACCAAACGCCCCCTAAAAGTGCTAAATTTCATTTGTGATTTTATAGGTTACGAACAATTGATACTTCAAATCTTACACCGGATGGCTATACTTGGAGAAAATATGGGAAGGAGTCAATTCGCAACACAAATCACCCCAGGTATGTCACTCCTAGTCTTTTCTTATTTAATTTCCAACCAATTATGGACCATACGAACTTTATATACTTCGTATTTAATACAAGTACTAATTTTATGAAAAAGAGTAGTCACATTTTCCTAACCCTTGTAATAAAGGTGTGACATAGTCTTTTTATCTTATTAATTACATCACCTACTTTACTATTATTTTTGTATACAATTATACAGTGACTTTATTTTATTTATTTATTTATTTATTTATTTATTTATTTTTGGGTAGATTATATTGCTAAATAACCACATCAAAATAACCTATTGATATAACAAGTAATCCATCTAAACTTTTTTGACGACTTACTTTATTTTTTTTATAGTAACATTTATTTTTCATAATTTGTGTATAAGATCGAACTGTTAGCCTAATATTATTTTATACTTTACTTTACTTGTTGTATATGAGACTATTAATACTTGACAAAAGGATTTTTTTTTCATTAGAGAACTAATCACAATTAATCACTAATCAACAATTATTTTTGTTTCGCAACGATCCATGATATAATAGGGAATACTATAGGTGTGCATACAAAGAAGATCAGAATTGCCAAGCGACCAAACAAGTCCAAAAAATATTGGATAATCCAACGACATATAGGATCACTTACTACGCCGAACATACATGCCAACCTCTACTCTACAATAACAACGCCCCTAACATCAATATGTTATATTCTTCTGAAAAAAACAATTGTACCAATTTCATAAGTTTTGAATCCAAAATCCCTATCATTCACCCCAAGCAGGAAACATTGAACAATAATGTTGCCCTTAATGCATCACATTCAATGGCTACTATTGATTGTCCACCTTCCAAACCCGTTGATTCGGTGACAATAATGGAGCCATTGCTAGCTGATGAAATCGCTTGTCTCAACCATGACGTGCTGTTTTCACCAAGATTATTCACGAGTCCAAATTACTTGGCTAGCACAAATATGGAGGCACAAGATTACATTTTGATGGCCGACAATTCTTTGGTTATGAGTGACGCTTTGATGGATCTCCCTCTTTGGGACTAAATCACGATCATTAAGCCCGAGTCCAAATTAAGTTCCCATTAATCCCTTTCCATGGGACTAGCTAGCTAGTTAAGTAGCTATGTAGCATAGTATGTGGTTAATTAGATAAAGATGTATAAGCTATATTAAATTCTTCAACGTGCATTAGATTCTTTGCAAGTGAGCTTATATTTGTTATATATTCATGAATAACAAACTAAAGTGTTCTTGAATTGTACGAAGAGTGCGTAGATTAAATTCGTTACTTTCTCTGCGTTTTTAGTTGTTATTTTTTGATGTTTGTTTTTTTGCAAAATTTCCAATGCATTATTGGATTTATTGCCATTATATCTAATCATAATTTTCAAGCTAAATGTTACCCCCACACAAACACACACACACACAAACACAAATCTCAAATTTGGACCACTAAGGGCCAAAATAGCCCCCAAAACCTTTAACGGGATATTTTCCAACACGTAAATCGATAAAATAAATATTAATGTGTGGAGAGTGGGCCCCATCAACGGTGATTAAACAAAATAATATAATTTGTTAACAGTGTGATAACGGCATGCTCACTGTATAGTTACCAATTATACCTGAAGATTCCAATATGTAACTTTCAAAAATAAGGGACACAACGAAAATACACAAACTAGAGTGTTAAAATATAGAATTTTCTCAAAAAAAAAATATAGAATTTTCAAAAAAAAAAAAAAAAAAAAAAAAAAAAGGGGGGGAAAAGGTGGGACATGGTAAGTCAGCAAAAAATCGACAGCCCAACTCTAAATATTTGACATAATATGAGAGGCATGATGGGTTGGCTAGTATGTTGGCCCAACTCTATAAATACATGAACATCACTTTTCAGAATTCAGTTTTAGCACGATGGGTTGGCTAGTTTGTTGGGCTATTGTTTTTTTTTTTTTTTTTTTTTTTTTCCAAAAAATAATAATAGGGTCATGTTGATACCACATGACATAGCACATGAATCTGACCGTATATGAGCTACGTTTATAAAAGATTGACACGGGCTAAATACATCACAGATTTTTGTTGGCGAGCTTCGTGCATAATTTGTGCCCAATTGCACTTCTAATTTAGCGAGAGGTAACAACAATTTTAATTTATTCTATTGTTTTTTAGGTGAAAGAGAGGGGCAAGGCGCAAAGTAAGAACAACAATGCAAATAGAAACAAAAAGCCAAACAAACAAAAACCAACAAAAAATGCAACAGAACTAAACTAAGATCCTAGTGATCTTATTCATCGAGATCAAGCTACTCCACTTTATATTACAATAAAACGTCACCAAGATCCTTAGGGACTGGTTCAAAGAGAACCAGTTTTTAATCCGAATCAACCCCATAATTAACAAGCTAATATACTGTATGATTTGCTTCTCTAAAACAACAATAAATAGTAATCTCTCATTCTCGTTCAAAAATTAGAGACTTACATGGACGGCTAATAATATATGGAGAGTTAGCGACAAATAGTGCAAGCTAAGGCGGTTATCGAGAGATACAACAATTAATTATTGAATTTATCAACCAGCAAAGTCCTCAACAAAAATACATACTAGAACAAAAAATAATCAGTACATTAAAAATTTTATTTTGATAAAACGACACTCGTTAAGAAAGGCGTCTATTATTTTCCGCTACAAATGAAGAGAAAATTCAATCTAACAACAACGGAATGCAAAGGTGTGCAGTCATATGAAAGCTTTCAGCCCCGCCTTTGTGCATATACGGGCATTCTGGTTTGTACTTCTTAGCATCGTCGTTGCCGGCTAATCGAACGTTCCATTTCGCAAGCAAGTCCTTAGTCGAAATCGCTGAAGAATTTTCGTATCTACTATGTGTAACGCGGGTGAAATTTTTTCAAATTCTCATTCTTAAGTATGTCACTAGGGTCGATATCAACGATAAAATATATCTCCGTAGGGTATTACAGGATGAAGGAATATCGGCATGGAGACGGGATCACACGACACAGCAGCAAGATCAGCAGCCACAACGAGACTCTTTCCATCCGGGCTGAAAAATGGATGCTCACGTGCCCTGGAAATCGTCCTCATAAATAAGTATTTCCACTGTCTATCACTTTTATGACCACATTGCCATCATTAGCCTTCACCATGTACACCCCAAAGTACCCCGGATCAGGAAGATCATCGGGTTTTTTGGCTGTTGGATTCGAACGATTCGATGAGAATACTATCCAATCTTGTGTAGGAGACCATTGACAATGTGTGTCTGTCCAATTCCCTTCTGTTAGTCTTGTTACTTTGGCTCCATCAAATTCTCCTAGTTGTGCATTTTCCATTATGTATAGATTCTTCAACCCATTCTTTGTAGATCGATAGACTAGTCTCGTCCCTGATTTGAAGTATTATGTTAGTTTTATCGCTATCAATAGAATTATTTGTTGGTATAAAGACAGCAGGTTTTGCATGGACCCGGTTTATAATAAACTAGATGAAAGCCCGTGCGATTCAGATTTTTTTTTTTATTTTTTTTTTTAATAATTTTTACAGAGTACTTATACATTACTAGAAATAGGCCTATTTCCGACGGACAAGAATTTCCGTCGAAAATCCCAAATATTCTGACGGATTATTATTCCGTCGGAAATTTCCGATGAATGTTAACAATCCGTCGAAAATCCGCCGTCGGAAATTTCCGATGAAATAATAATCTGTCGGTATATTCTTATATAAAAAAAAACCAACCCTCAACTCTCTGATCTTTTCTTTTTTTCTTTCTCCTCTCCTCTCCTCTTTCTCTCTCTTCTCCTTCTCTGACCTCCCTCCTTCTCTCAGATCCGCCCTCTCTTTCTCTCTCTTCTCCTTCTCCTTCCTTCATTTCTCTCTCCTCCGTCCTCTCTTTCTCTCTCTTCTCCTTCTCCTTCTCCTTTCTTCGTTTCTCTCTCCTCCGCCCTCTCTTTTTTTCTCTTCTCCTTCTCCTTCCTTCGTTTCTCTCTCCTCCGCCCTCTCTTTCTCTCTCTTCTCCTTCTCCTTCCTTCGTTTCTGTTCTCCTTCTCCACCGCCGCTGTGCAACCAACACCACGCACCACCGCCGCTGCGCAACCAACACACCACCACCGCCTTCTCAAGGTTTTTCAAAGAACAAAATAAGGTATTTCATGTCAAATTCGACCATGAAAACCCTAGATCTAGGGTTTTCATGGTCGAATTTGACCTTTAAAACCCAAATTCAAACCAATTTAGGGGTTTTGATGGAATTCAAGGTAAGTTGTCAATTCTCTTTCTCTTATTTTTTTCGGGTTTTGCTTGAAACATCAAAGAACAAGCCGGAATTTTTGGGTTTTCTTTTGAAATTTCTGGGTTTTGTTTTGAAATTTTGGGTTTTGTAGTCGAATTTCTTCGTTTTTTTTTCAAATTACTTCGTTTTTTTTTTGAAAACTTTTCGAATTACTTGGTTTTTTTTGGGTGTTTTTTTGGGTGGTTTCGGTGGTGGTTTAGGAGGGTGTGGAATGGCGAGGTGGGTGGTGGTGGTTTTTAGATCTGGCGAGGTGGGTGGTGGTTTGGGTGGTGGTATTTGGGTGGTTGGGAGGGGATACGGGTTAGGGTGCTGGGTGGGTTTTTCAGTTGGACGTGGTGGTGGTGGGTGGTGTGGGAAAAGGGGTTAGACGTGGTGGTGGTGGGTGGTGTGGGAAAAGGGGTTGGACGTGGTGGTGGTGGTGGGTGGTGTGGGCTGGTGGCGGGGGTGGATCTGGGTAGGGTAAGGGTTAGGGGTGGGCTGTTTTTTTTTTAATTTTTTTTATTGACTTTTCCGATGGAAATTTCCGTCGGAATATACCTCTTCCGACGGATTGTTATGAAGCCAAGAGATTACCAGGTCATTGCAGACATCCCACTGTGTTGCATTTGTTTCATCCTCCTTGCTTCTTGTCACTGTTCCATAATTTTCGTCGGAATATACCTCTGCCAGCGGAAATTTCCGTCGGAAATCTCTCCAACTCCGACGGAAATTTCCGTCGGAAACTTGCGACGGAATTTCAATTAAAGTAAAAAAAAAGCGCCGACAGCAATAAATCCGTCGGAAATTCCATCGGAAATTCCGTCGGAAAAGGTCGAATTTCCTATAAAGAGTTTTGCGACAGACTGATTCCGATGGAATTCTGTCGGAAGACCATTTTCCGACGGAATTTCCGATGTTTCCGACAGATTTTTTTCCGTCGGAATCAAGCTGTTTTCTTGTAGTGTATATAGAGCATATAATATTTTGATTATTTTACTGGTTAGAAAAGAATAGTTTTTTTTTTCTTTTTTTTTATTTTTATTATTCATTCGATTTAGTTATGTGAAAATTGTATTTATAATTAATTAAATTAATTACAAATATGGTATCTCATCCGTCAAATATCAGGATAAATATATTGCCCACAAACATTCTTTTTCGTATATCAAATTTTATTAATAAAATTTAGGAAAAATTGTCATTAATAATACAAACTTTGGCCCGTTTTTTTTTTATAAATAATACAACCTTTGGATTATACCTGAATATTACAACCTTTGGGGTCTCAACTTTAAATAAGACAAAACCGGATACAACTTGATAGACAGATTAACAATGCCACGTGTCGCTATATGATTGGCTTAAATAAAAAGTTATTTTTTTCTTTTCTCTCTCCTTTCCCCAAACACCACCACTGCTCCACCTAACCCCACCACCACTGCACAACTCCGGTCCCCATCCCCACCACCAGAACCTGCCCCTCCCCTTCCCGACCATCGTTGCCAACCCCAGTCCCCCACCAGTCCGAAACTCCCCACCGCACCATAGCAAGCCCAATTCCCGACCACTGTTGCCAACTCCCACTTCCTCAATTTCTCCCCTTCTCGAATAAAGTAGCCCCAATTCCTCCCCATCATGACCACCTCTTTTCGACCATAGCAGCCCTAATTCCTCCCTTCCCGACCACCGATTCCCCCCCCCCCCGTCCATTATCGAAACCCCTTCAAATTTCGCAAATTTCACACCCGGTTGGGCGGGGAAGGTAAATTCAACAGTCGGCCGGTTGGGTAGGGATTAGGGAAGGGTAAAGTTAGGGTGGTCGGAGGTCAGGCCGTCAGGGATGTGCGTGAAGGTAGGCTTGGGGGTTGGGGGAGGTGGGCTGACCACCATGGCTGGCGGGGGGAGGGAGTTGGGAGGGACTTTTATTTTTTATTTTATTTATTTTGTTTTAAACAAATTATTTATTTTAAAAAAATC